AAACTCAAAAATTAGTTCAGTACATTTAGGAATAGGACAATGCATCTGTAACAACCTGGCAAACCCAAACTCACAGCCCCCAGACAAAATGTCAACCAGCCATTTTGCGTGTGGCCTCAAACACCTCCCGATGCAGTGAGAATGTGATCAGAAAGGCTCTCTGCACCACCTGCCCCCACTTAATGGGTTATTAACTCATCAGCACCGGATACTTTAGCCCTGCCCTGTTCTTTTTCTGGTGCTCTGTAATTTGTTTTTTTTTTTGCCAGGAGAAATTCCCGCATGATCTCTCCTTTCTGTGCTAACCAGTATTCCGCCTGAATCTGCCTCGTCTTTTGACATGCCTCTTTGCCTGGGCCTTTACCACAAGCCTCAATTACTCCCCTTCATTATTACAGCTGCTGACTGGGTGTACAGCACATCCTCTGCCCTGCCTGTCTGCTTGCTTTCACATGGACCTTGCAGTTGGATATCTCAGCCTGTCTCACAGCCACGACATTTCCCGGGTCAGGACCATGTCCTAACAACAACATGTCCATCTTTCAAATTAAAATAGTATAATGTGTGACATCTGATGTTTATTGAAAAAATTAAAATATATACAAATAATGTTTATACTGTAGATATAACAGAGACAACATATATACATATGGCTGAAACATGATTTTCTTTGCTATACATTTTTACTAATACAATGGCTTGGTAATCCCAAAATTGAATGAAAATTTTGGATATCAGGCACCAGCAAGTAGGTAACCCTGTTTAAAGGAGGGTGCATTTTGTGTTTCTTATTTGCCAGCAGCCATATCACCCAGCAGCTCACAACGGGCAACCCGCTGAAGATAAGCAGGTGTGAGCCTGGTCAGTACCTGAATGAGAGACCTCCTGGGAAAAACTAAGGTTGCTGCTCGAAGTGGTGTTTGTGGGGCCAGCAGGGGACGCTCATCCTGCGGTCCTGATACCCCAGTATAGGGGCCGTCCTTTGGATGAGATGTAAAAGCAAGGTCCTGACTCTCTGTGGTTATTTAAAATCCCAGGGTGTTTCTCAAAAAGAGTAGGGGTGTAACCCAAAATTAACTTAAAATAACAACATTTCCCATTGGCCCTTACCAATCATGGCCTCCTAATAATCTCCATCTATGAATTGGCTTCGTGACTCTGTTCTCCTCCCCACTAATAGCTGATGTGTGGTGAGTGCATTGGCGCACTATGTCTGCCTGCGAATCATTCAGGTGGATGTTGCACATTGGTGGTCCCCATTGGAGGAGAGTCCCCATTACCTGTAAGGCACTGTAAAGTCCCCATTACCTGTAAAGTGGAGTGTCCAGAAAAGCACTACATAAGTGTAAGCAATTAATAATAATAATAATAGTAATAATAATTTAGCCATTAGGAACAGGTAAAAGTTTATTCCATGCTGAAAAGAAAAGAGACACAACATTTCAACTGTGAAATCTTCTTCAGGTATGGCTGAAATACTGTGTCTTTTTTCTTTTCAGCATGGAATAAACCTTTACAGTACCTGTTGCTTTGCAGCCAAAACATGCTGATGCAACTACTGTACCTACTTGTACTTGAACGATTTTAGCCATTAGTTGAGAAAATGTTATTGGAAACAACGTTGTAGATTGTAATTAAAACATATTTGAATAACCACTTTATCCAATTCAGAGTTGTGAAGGAACCAAAGCCTATACATACAGTATTTAAATATGTTGGTACTGTGATCCAAAATACTTTTCATTGTCTTTATTTTAATTTGTGTGAAAGAGCATAGTAAAAAAGTGCTGTATACAGTATAGTTTATTGGTTTTAGTATATGAAAAACAGAGAGTTATATGTGCAATGCAGAACAATGCTTAGAATTCTTTTGTCTATTTCCACAATACTATTTTAATATTATTAGCTTACCTTAGCTGTAATATGACCTATTAGCTGGATAACTTTTTGGTAAGGCACTATGTTTTTTTTTCTCAACACATAACAGATATAAAAATGGAAATGATAGAGGTTACACATCTCACTAAACATTGTGAAAATTAATGTTTATCTTAGAATGCTATCAGGCTCCTGCAATGATTTATTACAATCAATATGGTTCAGCTTTAGTATGGAAGAATCAGTCCTCACATTCATTAGGATCTGTCACATGTGGATGCATACCATCATGAAAAATTCACTGGATGTCAAATATGTCCCTTTCTCACCCTGACAGTGGTAATTTCTTTTTAAATTGCCATTGCCCTTGAGCGTTATGTGCACATGTCATTATTTACTGTCTCCACCAGAAGAATATCCACACAGTGCCTTGGCAAGCAATGCCAGTAGACATGTTTGGACCAGGTTTGGCATAAGTATCCAAAAGCACTGATGCCTCCACAGAGCTGATATAAGGCAATTTGTCTCTGAGACAAATGGTGTCACACTCTATAGATGTGTTGACTCAATACCAATTCCATGAGAAAACATAAGTTAACAAACACATTCTACTACAGAAACAGGTGTCTTGTTTAATGTATGCCCACTTCTTTTTAAAATTATGATTATGTGAGATTGATAATTTACAGTATAATAATTATTCAATGGTAATTAAGTCATATAAGCTTCACATAATATTTTGCCCCCTATAAAAAATCTTTGAGCTTCCACACAAAGTACAAGAAAACCATCACACCCTTCTCTTATCAGTGGGGTGAGTAAGTGACAAAGCAGATAATGGCTTTTTTACTTTGACCACATTTTCTTTAAAAATATCATACGTCATTCTCTGTAATGTACAAAGCTCAAAGCAACCCCCAGATGGTTGCATGTGAAAATCTGTGAACAACCATTCCTTTATTTCACATCCATCCACTGAAACCATACATTTTTCTCCTTTGATGCATTTATATTGAAATTAAATTAAAATACATTTACAAAAACAGTTGTGTTCTGTAGGATAATTCTACATGGAAATTGCCATATGTTTAACTTTCAGACTCCAGAAATACAGGTAATAGTCAATCGAATGTGTCAAAAGTGATTACGGACAGGATGACAAAAAAAGAATAGATTGTTACACCTCCAAGTGACAAAACTGCAGAGGAAATACTATCTAATGTTTTAACAATTATTTGTACAGTTGAAGGGGACAGCAAAAAGAGAACACCTAAAACAGCTGCACTACATCCACAACACATACTGTAGTTTTAACCATTCTCATTCAAAATGTGAAGTTCTAATATAGATCTAAGAATAAGAGCAATACGATGCCAGAGTAAGACAATTTTAGATGGCACCTTCATCATAGCTTTTATTTACGTGCTATCACTTTCAAAAGTTGTACCTCTATAACAGGGCAATCAAAATTGTTTTACAGCAACCATAAAAAGTATATTGACTTCAATACATAATGTATAATATGTTATTCACAGTTTAATTGTTTTCAGAGCTAACATTGTATTTTAAAAGTGCAGTTGTATTGTTTTAATATGTGTTTTTTTTTTCATTTTGGCTTTTAAAATATAATTAAGAAAATTAAACAAAATATTTATCTATTTGTGCATCTATTTGCAAATCACAATTACAAGTTTACAAGATCCCGAAAGTGTTCTCAGTTTTCCATGTCTTCTTGTTATTAGCAAAGGGCCCTGAAATGTAAGCATGCAAAAGGACATCAAGCTGTGGAAGACCTGATGTTGTAAGAGTCCCTAGTTGTTATTGCTATCGTTAAATTTTGTGGCAAGCAACATCTTCTGATGGTAGCTGATGTTAAATTTAGAAATAAAGTATTTATTTTTCAGAATGTTATTGTGCTTAAACAAGAGTAATCTTGGGTATTTTTAAGATCTACCTGTAAATGTTTGTGAAGTAATAATGGTACAATGTTTCACTTTTATTATCACAACTGAATAATTTTCGGAACAATTGTAATGTTTAACTGCAATCCCTTCTTGCACATGGATATCAGGATATGCTCTGGTTCCCTCATGGCCCTGATCTGGATAAAGCTGTTTGAATATGGATAGGTGGATGTATTGTTTAATGTTTAGAAAATATTGCTAAAACAAATACATTTAAAATTATGAACAGGTGAGACTTCTATACAGAAAGGGTTGTGGAAAGCTAGCAAACTCCCATGGTCCATTTTGTTGCTACATAACTACAGTAGTAGCAAGGCTCTGTCTTCACTACTACAAATTTCTTCTTTTTTCTCTTTTGAGTGCGAATTAATGAAGAAACACCAGGTTCTGCACCAAACAAAAAAAAAATCTGTTAATTACAATGGACTGTGTTTTTTTGCTAATTTAAAAGGACACTACACATTAGACCTTTGCACTTTTACCACAAGCTATGCCTGATTGTGCCAGCAATACATTTTTTAATGCAATGAGCATAAAAGACTCGTCTTTTTCTTACAATGTTCTCTCTCAGTTTGTATTCAATGCTGACAGTTCAATGAAAGGTAATTTAACATGGTAATAGTTGATAAAGTAAGGACAAGATTATGATTTACTGTACTTTACTTCTTAATTGTTTATGAATGGATAATATCCTGCAGTGTCATTTTAGATGATAAAATGCAGTGAAAGGTACTATATAAAATATATGTATTAATATATCAAGATATCAAGATATTTTCTGCATTTCTAATCATCTCATGTGTGGTGTGATGATGGATTTATTAAGCTGAACCATAGATATTAATAACTCTGAATTGTACTTCATGAAACTAGTATGACTAATTTCATACTGAGCTGTTTGTTTAGTCTCTTATTATTTGGAATGTTTTGAAACTGTCCATATTCTAAATATCTGGATTTTTGAATATGTACACAGTACAGTAAGTATTAATCCTCACAAGATTAATAAAATGACACTTGTTCACAGGATGGAGTGTTTAAGTAACTAAATTTACTTTATTTTTAACCTACTATGCATTTCTACATTTCTGTGTACAGTATAACTGATCTTCAAAATGAATGCCATATTGCAAAGTGATACCAAGCTCATTCATCCCATTCAGTCAATATAATTTTATTTCAATGTATTACGTTTAACAAACTAGAACTACAACAGTTTTGAACAGCAAAACAAAACTAAACAGGAATGGCAAGGAATTAGAAAGAGCAATTGGACATCATTTTATTAAAAAGATTAGATGCATCAGTTCAAACATTTAGACCATTTTAAATCACCCAAGCTATTTGAAACAGTGGTCGGTAAAAATATTTCTATGTAACATGATGTACTGTAAGCAACCTGCTCATCAAAAACAGAATGAGTACATAGATTGTGCTTTTTGATTCTATCAAATTTGTATAATATCCTTGTAAATATCCTACATATACAGAGCTTGATTGTGTTACATATTCTGAAGGAACTTATTCTGACCAGTATGGAGACTATATGAAGGATACAACTGGACTATTTTTAACCTTAAAATATAGATCTAAATACAACTAAAATGCATTTGATCACAAAAGACAAATAAATCATAGTGCACTTTTAAAATATATATTTGAATGACATTACAATAACAGTATACAAAAAAACATTTTTCATGAAAAAAAAATCGTTTGCATTGGTATAAAAACCAAAGAAAAACACTTGATCAGTGCTCAAAAACTCAAATTATCAAAGCACATTTTTAAGTCTTTTCTACTATAATCATTGACTTGGTAAAGCACTGTATAGAATACTGCAGTCTTAATTTACACATATCTTTTAAAAAGAAGGAACTATTTTCCTAAATAAAATCTTGACAAAGGATCATTGTGTTTTACAGTAGGTATTCAAAGTTCTGTTGTAACACATAATGCACAAATGTCATCATTTAAGTGACATTTCTACTCTAGTATTCTCATCGGGTGCAGTGACATTGTATTCCCCATCCTGGCCATTCACCAGCACCCTCATGCGATCAGGCAGCTCATCAGATTTGGGAAACAGAAGAAAGTCATAGACAAGAGCAGCAGCCACACCTCCACACATGGGTCCAACCCAGTAGACCTGAGATGTAGAAGCAGATAACATTTATATCATTTTTTATTTTATTGTTTTTAAAGAGAAAAAAAAGTTCCTCCCCATGTTCCTTATCTCTTCACTCCAGCCACATCCTCCTCAGTGGTACTCTCCTCCATGTTTCTACCTAAAAACCTTTCATATACAGTCAAACAGCCACAATGTAATGCCTAGATAACAAGGCTTTCACAGTGTCAGCAGCAACAGTTCAAGTCTCTACTATTTCCTCTGTTCCATAGAACCTACTGTAGCAGTCGAAAGTTCAATAAGCATTTACAACCACTTGAGAATTTTAATTTGACTGCGGTGACTACTTAAGAGAGCCTTAATATCACAATGTCTGTCCTACACTGAAAACACAATGTTGTAAGTGTAACATTTTGATACATACTGTATAGCTTAGTTGGTCCTTGTTTACCAAGCTGCAGAAAAGCTAAAGCTGGGTTTGGGGGCTTGTTCAGAAAACAAGGTGTTCTTGAAAATACCGAGGTTGAAAACTCAATGGAAAGCATCAAGATCAATACCCACACATTCTGTGGGTAGAGGCATATTTTAGTGCTGCTTTCTCTCCAACACATTTTCATGTTAACTTTTTTTTAAATCTTTAGTAAGACAAATATGTCGAAGTCTGTAATGTAAGTGCTAATTTAAGGTTCCATTATTTGTTTTTAAATTTCACATTCCACCTACCCAGTGGTCTTTGAAGTTAGACGTAATCAGAGCAGGGCCAAAGGATCGAGCTGGGTTCATTCCACATCCAGTATAACTGATCTGGGGAGAAAACCACAGATTTGCATGGGATTGCAATGGTATTTTCTAATTATCCAAATGACAAATTAATACGTGATATCTTACCAGCTGTGCAGGAGAAAACACTCACTGACACAAAAATAAAGTAAAGTGGTTATTATAGGATCTATTTTTTTATAATTAAGCCATGTTTTTTTTTTCCTGAAATGTTCAAATACTAGCAGAAACGTACCAAAGGTCACTTTCAGAATTGTTTTTTTGCTTCAAAACTATTTTTAAAAAATCTAAAAGAAAAAGTGTTTCACAGAATTCTAGATCTAAAATAGCAAGCATTTACTGAGGAAAGTGGGTGAAGTTTAAATTTATTCTGTAAATTCATCATTTGAAAAACATTACTGCTGGCAGCAGAGCAAATTTAGAAAGTGTTTGCAATTGCTCAGACTGCAACACTAAAAGGGTATTGTATCTAACTCTACCGGGGCTTTTAATTTCAATCTCTGCCTCTGACTCAATCCATTTTGCACCAACTGCTTACATACATTTGCATACTGTAGATCAAGTCAGCTGTTAAATTAAATTGGAACTGGCTAGTCATCACCAGTGATTTTTTCCACTCTATGGTGTACATTATATTTCAGTCAATTTCTAAGTGACTTACAGAAGTGAATACTAAGAATTCATGTTTTAATGACGTACAGCAGCAAGGTGCCCAAAGGCCACAGAGAGACCAATGGCAAGGGGTGCTGAGCCAGTGACATCATGCCGTCTCTTATCTGTTGTTGCTATAACACACAGGACCAGTTGAAAGGTGACAAGAAGCTCTATTCCAACACCTTGACTGGAGGTTACATTGTTTAGCTGTAAAAGAAAGACAGATACACATTTTAAAGGTTGAGAAAAAAATAATGATTCTTGTCATCTCTGGATAAAAGATTGTTTACTTTTAAACTACCTGTGAACATTATATCAACAAATCACATATTATTAGGTATCATAAGAAGGTAACAAAGGTGACAAGGAAGAGAAGGCCATCTAGTCTATCTGGTTGCTGATAACTAATTGATCTGAGTATCTTATGCAGGTTTTTTTTTAAGATGTGTGGTTTCAACAACATACTATAGCTGAGTTGCTTTCTCCACACTCCTGCATTTGTTTGAAGTGTCTAAATAAGAATATTAATCATACACTGATTACAGGATTTTTTTAAAGATGGAATAATCAAAGTATTGATACCCCACTAAATGACACTTTTGGACAGTTTTATTTTAGAACTGATACAGTAATGGTCAATAAGTACAATAAGAGACTGAAAGTGCACTACTTACAATAAATCTAAGTCAGAATATTTCTGTTTCTCACTAGGGACTTTATGTAACTATACATTTTTTTATTTATCTCAGTACATCATTTTTTAAACTTGATTCTCCTCCCAAATTTTATTTTACTGGTAAAAGCAGTTATAAATGCTTCATTGAAAAAGAACTCTGATGTAAAATATGTAACTTCCTTGATGAACCTTTGAATCCAATGGTATTCTGGTTAGTAGCAGTTGAACTACTAAAATTTCTTTTAATATTTTTCCATGTGTTAAACTTCAATATCCACTTTATTTCAACAGTTGAGCTCAAGACAATTTAAAAAAGTCATGCAAAAACGTCCATTATTTACCTTCCATTAATTACAATTAGAGATTAACTCAAGAAAGATCTGGGATATCAAATCTATATGGGATATGTTATCCGAAAATGCTGATGTGTCTTACAGTTTTAAATGAATTTAGTGAGTGATGTAATTTAATTAAGAAACACAAACTAGTGAACAGACCACTAGAGGTCATCATAAACTACTAAACCACTGCTCATTATCCTGATTGTTTTTGTTGGAATATGTACTATACGGTGTTACATTTTTTATTCTTTAGCTAAGAGCTTCTCAACTTTTTTATTATATCACACTAAGGTCACCAAATCGTCCAGGTAAAATATGTAATCTGTCTCCTTGTTCTTTTATATTATACATGTAATATTATTTGTATGTATTATTAAATCAGTTATTCTGTGTCATAGCAATGAACTATAAACAGTACATTTAGCACATGTTTAGTATCTAATTTAAATTATAAAATAATTTGTAAAGAAGACCATGAGGCACATGCCACATGTTTCCAGAAAAAAAAAATAGTATTCTGAACATAAATTATGTCACTGTGTGGTTTTACTTGTGCTGTCCTTCTCATTACCTTAATTCACATTCAGGTTCTATTTCTCTGTGCATAAAACACATGGATGAAATCAGGTGGTGTTATGATTATCCAATGCATTTGCATAAAACACACACTCAAACATCTGTGCACAAAATAGGTAAAAGAGAATAAAATATGAATATTTACCTACTTTGTCTAATTAAATTATAGTGAATTAGCAACAGTTGCATACACTCTTTAAAGAAAGTTTTTAAACTTTTTTCTAGAAGCAAGAAAAAACACTCACTGAATTCACTCCCAGTACATCAGTTCCATTCGGCCTGACTCCGTACACAATTCCACTTGCCATCGATGCCCCCAGTAGTTGTGCAATGATGTACATAACAGCCTTGAAGACACTGATCTGGCAACTTGCCAGCATGCCAAAAGTCACTGCAGGATTCAAGTGGGCTCCACTTATGTGGCCCAAACTTTGAGCTAAAGTGGCTATAGCTAACCCAAAGGCTAGTGACACTTTTACCTCTTGGTCAGGACTGGAAGCTTTAGGTTGCCCTACAGCAGCTGATATACTAAGAGAAATAAAGAGAGTAATGCCTATTAGTTCAGCCAGCACTCCCTTCCAAAATGCCTTGCTCTTGAATTCTCTCATCTTGACTGAGGCTTTGCTGGTCTGATGTGGTATCTACAGACACAGAGACGTTCTGGAGAATTTATAGAGTTCAGTTCATAGTGGGAGGAGGGGGTGTTGCAAAGAAAATCAAAAGCATGCAGAATTAGTGAGACCTCAAGAGCTTTCACAGTTGTTCCACCTCTTTTTCATAGGAAGTCTTTATTCATCGAAATAGCTTTTTCTAGAAAATGTTTTATACAAGTTGTTGCTAAGACATATCATTGGTGGTAAATTCCTTAAAATTGTGTGTTGAATATCACAGAACATTAAATATTTAATATTGTTTCAATTTTATTGCAGTTAAAGGAGTAAATTGGTAAAAAGGGAAAATACAGCATAAGGTTTTGATATGTTGTAAGAAAGTTTCTCCTTCATTCTCTTTGATTGTCGTGGCAACTCCTGAACAATTGGGGAAGCAAAAGAACTGCAGTTGTTATTTTGTCTAATCATTTGCATCACAAAGTGAACCTTTTTTCTATGGAGAAAAATTTTGCTCAGAAGAGAAAAGTGAAATCTAAATACAAAACAAACAACTTAAGGAGTTATTTAATGAGACTGCATCTGATCAGAGTTTTCTTGTTCTTATGTACTAATAATGGTCAAACAAATGGGGTTTTAAAAGTATCACATAAGCAATATACAGTATTATAAACAAGTGTACAAAAACAAGGCATGTTGATTAATTCACTTAATCCCATATGTTCACACATTTTCATTCAGGATAAATACACTTACATGAATTTAAAAATTCTGAAATTATAGTACAGTACATATATATTTGATGTGAAGCTTTTATCATACATTTGACTATATTCATAGAAATTTTACTAAAATACGTCTTTCCTAGTAGAAAACTCAAATTATTCAATTGTAAAATGCATAGTTTTAGAATCCTTATAACAATACGTTTTTATACATAGTCCACAAACATGGCAAAGGTAGTACGCAGTCCAATGACTGTAAAAGACTTTATACATTTTTACTATTTTCATTCAAATGAATCCTTACTACCAAATAATCATAATTATATTATTTGTGACTTTAAAATTCAGTCTTTTTTCTATGCACCAGACCTCCCTGTTTGCTTTTTTATCGAGTCTCCATATTGTCTTGATGTGGACATATGGGAATTTACATGTACTGTACACATCTTCTGCAAAGATTACTGCTACTCAGAATCAACCATGCTACAGTACATGTATCGTGTATGTTCCTACTTTCAATATGGATCACTTTGCTTTTTAATGCAAAGATGCATATTAATTATTTGCCAGAAGTCTCAAGACAAAACTCTCTTTGTAACTCCCTTGCTGATTTGATTTTGTTTGCCACTCCCCAATTATTTTTCTATCATGTACACTACAAAATGTACTTGTTAACTGTAATACAAAGTAGTTGTTATAGATCACATAGAGCAGTGGGCCTAAAATGGGTCCCAGCACATCACTGCTTATTTCAGACCAATTACTGTTTGTGCTCTATAAAAATGATGTACTATTTCCTGTTTTCTAACCTGTTTTTGATTGTGTGCATTAACAAGTTTGGATTTGTGTGGTTTTAAATTTGAAAACCAATATTCTCTGATGTCGTTTGTTTGAGCATTTTAGCAAGATAGTTAAATAAGACATTCCATTTATAAGCCCATTCTATTGACTACTAGATTATGGCAATAGTCCTATCTAGTATTGTTATGTACTGCAACTCTATCATTTGCATTTCACTTTAGCATTAACATTAGTCTTATTGCTCTATTGTTTCCTGGATCATTTACCCTACTCATTATGAACTGAAGACATTTATAGTTCTCCAATCTGTGGACACTGCTCCCATTCAAGTGAGAGTTAAAATATCACATTTTGGAGTCTATGAAAACAGACTTCAATTCTTTTAAATGACTGGGAAAATTCTAGTGATTTACTGTAGGGTCAAGATCAGTTGTGCTTAATTTACACAATATTGCTGGAGCTTGTTATATAACATTGGATATCTCTGTGAATTTAAATGTAACATATTACATATACAATTATTAACTTTACTTACTACTATATTTCCCTACGGGATTAATAAAATATTATCTATCTAAAACACTACTCAATCATCATTGTTTTAATGTTATAGTACTGAGTGAAATGCTTTGTATTGTTTTTAATTGTGCTACAATATTCTGTTCTCTCTCATGGTAATTCTTTTGTATTTTTTCTAGCAACTAGCTATAGCAACTAGTTAGTAGCAACTAACTATAATATCAAACTGTAGACATTTTAGCATACTATGATTGTTTTAAGTGATTAGGTTGATAAGAGTATCTTCCCTGGTTGGTGCTTTTACAAAGTATTCATTGACATTTTAACCATATTAGTTTGAGCTGCTGTATTTCCATAACAATATTAAATGCATATGAAGAAAACTGAAATCACTCAGTAATATGATTCCATCTTTGCTACATACTGTACATTCCTAACTAATACAGTATATTATACAGTAAACTGCTTGCATCCATGTCTGTATTAGCTTGTCTTTGGCATATAACAGTTGTTTTGTTCTTAGAATTTCTTTTCTGCAGTTTAACCCAAATATGTTATATACACATGTATTTTCTTTCTTCAGCTTTCTTGCTTGAAGTTTTTTAGGAGTCTTTGTCTCCTGCCTCAAAATGTGCAGCTATTTATATTCATTCATGCTGTAAGAAAACCGGCTCAGGGACTTAAATATGTAATCACAGTGGCTTTCTGAAGACACCAGTTCTGTAGGGTTTGGGCATTTACTGAGACAATTATTAATTGTAGCAGTAAATCACAAACTTGATTCTTTTGATGGCTTTAGAATCCAACCATGCGACATAACTCAAACAATGCACACACACAGGTACTAGTACACGAGGATACATTTATTAATACATAGAATATGCATAT